ATAATATAATATTTTATAAAGATAATAATTAAGTACTCTATTAGAACTCAATGATTATCCTAATTATATTTTAGATTTTTTATATTTAAAATAAAATATTATCTTGTATTTGATTATGTTTATCTGCAATTAGTTACACGAATTCATATATGGAGCTTTAATAAGTTCTACTTACACGCAAACTACTTGTAATATTGAGTTTTAAGTAATATGCATTAATAAAAAGTATTTTATGCATAAAAAATAATTTTTAAGAGTTTTTGTCAAATGCTTTATAATATAGTATAAATTATTTTTTTTATAATTTAATCTAAGTTTAATAATGAAATAATTTATTTTTGGTTTAATAATATAACATTTTATAAAGATAATAATTAAGTATTCTGTTAGAACTCAATAATTATTGTAATTATATTTTAGATTTTTTATATTTAAAATGAGATGTTTATCCTGTATTTGATTGTGTTATCTGCAGTTAATTACAAGAATTCATATATGGAGCTTTAATAAGTTATATCTACGCACAATTTACTTGTAATCTTGAGTTTTAAGTAATATACATTAATAAACAGTACTTTACGCATAAAAAGTGGTTTTTAAAAATTTTTTGTCAAATGATTTATAATATATAATATATTTTTTTATATAATTTAATTTAAGGTTTCGGAGAAGCTACCACCGCATATTAAAATCAAATATAATAAAAATATTGATTTCATTTTATTAATTATATATGAAATGAAAATTCTATTTATAACCACCATTCCTTTCCTCATGAGAGGGGAAGAGAGATAAGTCCAGTATCGATCATGTGTGTGTGTATATATATATATATATATATATATATACAACATAAGGCAGGTGTTTAATTACATGAGATTGTTAGAGAGAGAGAGGGAGAGAGAGATGAGGAAGAAGAAGCAGTTGGGAAAGTATGTATGGGATGTGAAGCATATGGTTGAGAGCATCTTCATCATGTTCTTGATCATGGGAGCATTAGCCACCATAGCTTATTATTATGTCAACATCGATCATGATCAGCCACATCCAGCAGCTGTATTCAAATTCTACACACCTAATCCTAATACTACTTCTGCTTATGAGTCATTAGATGGATGTGATTTGTTCTCTGGCAAATGGGTTCATGATAACCATTCATACCCTCTCTACAAAGACTTGGATTGCCCTTATATTTTTGGGGATTTTGCTTGTGGACAATATGGCAGAATGGATTCCAACTATCAACAATGGAGATGGCAACCCCATGGATGTACCCTTCCAAGGTCTCTCTCTCTCTCTCTCTCTCCAAAGTATACCTAGAAACATACATACATATACAAAAGGTTCAAATAAAAAGGTTAAAAATAAGTTCCGAAAAAATCCAAAAAGAATCTATTGTAGATGCATAAATAAACCAATTAATGTTAGAGATTATTCATATATGCATTCTCAAATGGAGTTTTTGCAATGATTCACATATGAATTATCTTGTCTTATGTTATCATGATATTTAGTCTTTTAATTTGAACCTTCTTACTATATAAAGAAAGTTTCAAATAATTAAGAAGGCAAAATTAAAAGTTAAGAAACTTACAAATAAATGACTCATAGAATAATTGGTAAAAAGATAGTTAAGTAAAACTAAGTTTACATATGAATTGGTTTAATGATTTTTACATACGAATCATTTATGTTTATGCTTTCAAAGTGTTGTAAGCATTAAATGTAATACATGCGTCAAGATTTTTTAAATTCAACTCTGATATCTAATTATGGGTTGCTTTAATTAGTTTTAATTTCATTATTCACTTAAATGAGGCTTCTTAATTAAGTTCTAAAACTAGTAATAAAGAAATTAAACAATATTACGTACGTTAATACTTGTTCAATGTATGTTTATATATATATATATATATATATATATATATATATATATATATATAACCTAATAAAGTAGGCCGCCAACATAGGAAGACCATAAAGTGGCTATTTCCTCATTTCTTTTCAAAAATAATTAATTAATGTTGAAATTGCTTAATATATACCCAAAGATAATCAGTCATATCTTTGCAATAATTTGATAAATTTTAGTGTGTACGTAACTCTAAGATATGCATATATGTATACATGTGGGGCCGGTTCAAATAAAAGGTCAAATATTGTGACAATGTAAAAAAAGAAGGTCATGTATATATGAATCATAGAAAAAATCTATTTGAATGTTCATATATATATAAACCGACGTTACAGATTATTCATATAAATTTACATATGCATCTTCATTTTTTTTCTCCCTTAATATTTTTACTATATATGTATTTGTAGGGACATGTCTAAATAAGAAAGTTAAATATAATGAGAAGCTTCTTCTGTATTTATATGTTTTTATGGGTGTTTGGGATTGTTTATAAGAACAACTTATTGACTTAATTCGGTATGACACTGGTAATAAACACTTTTGAGTGTTTGGATAAACAACTTATACCGATGTCAAACCATTAATAAGAAGTTAAACCCTTTTGACTTATAATAAGTTGATAAGTGTTTTTATAGGAAAAACATAAGTTGTTTCAAATAAGCAATCCCAAACACTCCTATAATATATTACAAATATTAGTTACATATAATTATATGAATGGTTGTATCCCAATTGGATTTGTTTAGCATAAAGATGGAATAGAATATAGATGAGATCAAGATTTTTGTTTTTGAAGCAAATATAAGGGATAGACACAACTTTTTATTTTAATATATATTTCTAGTTTTTAACATACAAAATATTTTCATGTATAAAAAATCCATATTTTTAAGACCCTTGGATTAGAATTTTATAATTGAATGAATGTTGATAGAGATAGTTACCCCCTAACTACTCTTGTCATTTAGTTAATATTTTCTATATATATATATATATATATATATATAGAGGGATGTTATTCTACACCATTTGTCATTCCTACACCCTATACAACCTTCATCTCAACCATTCAATTTTTAATCAATTAATTGTTTCCTAATATAAAGTATTAATCATAATTAATAAACTCTATTTATATTTCATAAATATTCAAATCATAATAAATGAACTCCAATCATTTCTATAAATATCTCAATTAATTGGGTTGCAAA